TGAAGCAACACGTCCTCCACAACTAGACTGAAGAACAAAAGGACAGCAACTTGTCTGTTCCCCTTCCCCCAATTCCCCAGTGCTGTTCCCATCCCCCAATTCCCCAGTTAAAAAAAAAAAAACAAGTAAACCATGTTTTATTTTGCAGCTGGTTCCATATTTACGATCCAATCTTACGGGATTTAAGCAACTTGAAGTACTTAACTTCAGAAATGGGAGTGTGATCGTGAATAGCAAAATGAGGTTTGCTAAATCGGTGCCCTACAATCTCACCAAGGCTGTGCACGGCGTCTTGGAGGATTTTTGTTTTGCTGCAGCCCAACGACTTGATCTGGAAATAGACAGCTACTCTCTCAGCATTGAACCAGGTAAAAGAATTCAATCCAGAAATTTGCCAGAGTTTGGGGGTTGGTTGGTTGGTTGGTTTAAGCTTGCAGCTGAACTTGAAGTCATGAAAATCAAATTAAAATCAAAGAAACTCATAGTTTAGTGGTTACCAGAGGGTAAGCGGGGAGGAAGGTGGTAGAAGAGGGTGAATGGGGTCAAATATATGGTGATGGAAGGAGAGCTGACTCTGAGTGGTGAACACACAATGTAATATATAGATGGCGTATTACAGAATTGTACACTTGAAACCTATGTAATTTTACTTACCATTGTCACCCAAATAGATTTAAAGAAAAATCAAATTAAAATCACACTTGATAAAATAACCTTTTGGAAGTTATGGATCACCTTATTCAAAAGGTAGGGTTCTAAGACATGCAGATTAAAGTTAGTTTTCCTACATCAAAAGGCAAAGAACAAGCACACCTCTTGCTTCACCATCTGAGAGCTTTAATTTCCCCTGAGAGCAAAACTTTTGCAGTGCTTAAGAGATTCTTTTTTAAATATAGCCCACAGCCAAGCTAATTAACATTCTGCTGGAAGTCAAAAGTACCTTCTCTGCAAACTGCAACAACCTGGGAGGTTCCTACCTAAGAAACCTGCCAGTCATAGTTAACTATGGGAATCATCTCTTTATAACAAAGTTCCGCATGAAACAGACAGCATCCTGAGGAGAGAAAAATAATCATTAGACCAACATTCAGACTTGGAGAGAAGTCACTTTACCATCACCAAGGAAAGAAGAGAATAAAGTCCCTTCCCATTTGTGTGCCCTAGATCAACTTCCATGTGCAGATTAAAACAAAGAAGAGTTAGATGTGAAGAAAACTCTCGAAAGATATGGGGGCTCAGCCCAAAGCTACACAATAGACAATGAGCATTTGTTCTGATAATAAAGCATAATGTACGTACCATTGTAACCAGCTATGCCCAAATTGGGAGCTGTTCCCACCATTACTTTAAAATTTCTGTTTTCTAACCAATTGAAGAAACTTTTTTTTTTAATTCCCTGGAGTGCAAGTGACCAAGGTTCCAAATCTACAGCTAATGCAACCATCCAGGCAGGTTGAAAACAAAGCTTTGTAATTGGCTATGAATTAGTGAAGTGAATCTTTTAACATCCTCTCTGGCTTTCTGTGGACTAACAATGATGGCAGAGGGAGAGGCCTGGGGCAAAATTCAAACAAAAAGACTCAGTTGGGAGACACTTATCTTTGACAGAGCAGAACTTCTAGCAACTTTAAGAAAATTGCCTCCTGCCTTGGTAAATATGATCATTAAAATGAGAGAGGGCCCTAAAACACTGCACCTAGGAATGTTTAGCTCTAAAGGAAGGGGGGAGCGGGAGGTGAGAAAGCCCCCTGGCTCCTCTGAGAAAATCAAAGACCTCTAACTGCTAAATAGTAAGATACCTATCAGCAGCTTCCCCTGAAAACTTCCTCAGAATTGAAAAGGAACTAAGGGTTCTTGCCAGTTATGCTCAGGAGTCCAATTCTTCAGTGATTGAGAACAATAACAAGGATGTGTATAAGGAGAACTTGGAAAGCATAAGGGAGGTGAGGGCCCAATCCCCTCCCCTCCTGACTCCCTCAGGGAGCTCAGTTTTACCTAGAGACCCATCCAACAGCATGAGAATGTAAATTTAAGGACTAAGTTGAGGCAGGGGAGAAATCTGGTGTGCTGCTGAGGGGACAGGCTTCTCCATGCCGGTGCCACTTAAGTAGTGCCTTCGAAAGAGGTTAGAGAGCTGGCAGTGCTGGGGATGTGTAAGGGACCAAGGTGATGTGGGAAAAAACAGAATAGCATGGACCTTGGCGAGTCATAGTCCTGAATGTGAAACCTGTGTGCTAACAGCCAGCACTCAATTTCCACAACTGGAAAATGGAGATAGTAACTAAAATAATAGAGTCATCCCACAGGGTATTGCTTCTAGGACCCCACCTCCCACTCGAGGATAGCAAAATCCAAAGATGCTCGACTCAAGTCCCTCATATGAAATGGCTGGCCTAGTACTTGCGTATAATCTTACACATCCTCCTGTATACTTTAAATCATCTCTAAAATTCTTATAATACTTAATCCAATGTAAATGCCATATAAATCGTTGTTATTCTGTATTTTTTAGGGAATAATTACAAGAAAAAAGTCTTAACATGTTCGGTACAGACACAACCATCATAGACCTAGGTACAGATTACACATCAGCAACAACATAACTTTTCTTTTGAATATTTTCGATCCAAGGTTCATTTAATCCACAAATGTGGAACCCACGGATAAGAAAGGGACTGTATTTACAACACTTAACATAACACTCAATGCACTGTAATTGACTAGTAAATGTTTAGTTAATATTGCAACATGGTCATTATTAACTTGACTAATAATTTATGACCTGCTAGGGTGCCAGTGAAAACAATATGAAGTACCATGACAAGGCAATTGTGTGGAGGTTGGAACTGAAATTATTTTCATTAATTTCTTGTGAGAGTTTAGCTATGTCGCTTTTCTGTAGGAAGCCAATAGCAGTAGGAAAGGGTTGGTGCTAACATCAGCCTCAGTCCTTGCTGGAGCCAAATTTATGCTACGCTACCCAAGAAGTGCCCCTGGCTACCCAGTGTACGGTGGGGCAGCATGCCCAACCATCTTTTAATGGTGGAATAATACAGTAAAGCCAGAGTGCACTGGACAACTTGACAAATTACCTTACTCTGTTTCTTACCACATACTAGGAGAGTGAGAAAATCTGAATTCTTAATACACTGAAAATTCACAGAAGAATGAACGAGTAAATGAACGACTGGGAGAGGCCTGCCAAGAAATGACTGTAGTGAGCCAGCTAGAACGTGAATAATGCCTGAACCAAAGACTTGAGGACAGCAGAATTAGAAAGCCAAATATGGATTTTATAAAAGTTAAAACTAAACAACAATGAACTGTATGAAGCTCTCTATGTAAATCAAAATAAATAAATTCAATATCCAAAAGGGCTGCTATTTAGCGTGAGAAGCCACTATGCCATCCTGCCCCCAAAAGTGTTTCTTCCAATCAACAGGGTGAGTAGAGGGAGGCAGGTGGGTAATGAGCACTCAGGGAGGGACAGGGGAGGAGTAGAGGGAGCTTCCTAACTCACAGCTGGGGATCCGGGTTTAGTTATTTCACCAAAAGCAGAGGGTAGATTCACCCACTTGTAACCAGCAAGTGCTTGATGATTCAGCCTTGACCAACTTCTACGTGCTTAATACAAAACAAAAAGCGGTCATCCACTACTTACTAATTTACTTAATACATGAAAGTCAACCCCTGCCCAAAGGATCTTCCAATGTAGCCAAAGAGGGACACTATAGAATGACGCTGGGATCAAAGCTATGCCTTGTTCATTCAAAAAGACTTTTAGTGAGCACTTTCTGATATGCCACACTTAGTTGCAAATTCTTGTGAGTCTGGGAATCACTAAGGAGTGGTCCCATAAAGAAGAAAGCTCTGAATTATACTTTAAATTCCATTTCATCGAGACCTGGTGTCTGAACAGAAGAGAGAAGGTAGGGATAGAGATTAATGTAGAGAACTTTAGTCCCTCTGGGCCGGTCTCAGGCAGTGAGTCGGCCAGCAGCGGTTGATGTGGAGAGGGCTGAGCAGCCTGTCACAGCCATGACGACAATGAGCACTGTTAAAGAAACCAACATCTGAAACCAATAAAAAGTAAATAAATAAATAAATAAATTTAATTTAATTTTTAAAAGCTTATTTGATTGGGAGGGAGAGAGCCAGGAAAGTTAATGGCCAAGTCCTACTGGACTTGTTCCCATTGCTCAGAATTTTGTGGTACCCAGTAGGCAGTAGCGTGGCCAAGGTTTGCTAAATTGCAGGGTGGCACCATATCCACATTACCTCATCACCAGGCCTGTGGGCGAACCGCCAGTAAACACAGGAGGTGACGTTAGACTCCCAGGTTGCAGTCACAGTAGCTGCAAATTGTGTTTTTCCCAGACCCCTTTGAAAACCACCACTTCACTAGGCAATGGACATGTCCATCCACATCATCTTTGCCTCCTCTAGTTCTGGAACTTTCCTGGCTCTCTCCCTCCCAATAAATAAGCAATTTTTTCTAAAAGAAAAAAAGAAACCATTATTCAATGCCACATGTTTAAGATAGCAAGGAAGGTTTCATTCAAGGGGGACCATCTCAATGGGTGTAGGGACCCCTGAAATGGGGCCTTGGAGTGAGGGGGAGAGAGTGATACAGCATGGGCCAGTGGGAACCTAGAGCCAAGCAGCGGGGTAGGGGTCAGTGAATGGAATATAGTGTGGGAGTGGAGTCGAGGGAATTGTAATAGATATATGTATGATAAAATTTAAAAAAGAAAGAAAGAAAATTACTAAGAGGAAACATCAGAGGTAGGTTTAGGTGGTTAAACTGACCTCAAAGGATTCTTGCTGAAGGCAGGGCAGGGTGATCAGACATCCTGGGGAATAGTGGAGGATGAGGAACCTGCTCAGATATTGAGCGTGATCAGATATGGTGGATGCGAGTTTCTAACTAAACCAGCTTAGCAGGATTCTTGCTAAATTTGGACAATACGAGACAACACAGAAGTCCAAAAGTAGAAGCTGAGTTGACAATTTCAGTGGAGCCTGAGTAGAGATTGGTCAAGAGGAGAATCTTTGTCGGCACCAGAGCTGGAGAGGCAGGACATTAGCCACACAGGAGTCAGTGACAACAGTATGAGCTACCATTGGAGAGTGGTGGCTGTTATGGAGCAAGGGTGGTTAGGGACCCACTCAGACAGATTCACATTATTCACAGCTCCTCCTCCCTGTTCCAAAACCGGGTGCAGACAGCCCCCAAACTCAAAACACACTTCTGAACAGAGCTAATTACTTGTCACTTCTATGAATCTGCGTATCTTATAAGACTTCTTGAACCTGAAATTTAAAATGCTGTTCTTTAAAAAACCTGTACAGTTACAGAAAAGTGTTT